TGATTGCTGCCCGGGGAGCGGGCAGGGTTACTCTGTGTTGTTTGCCGACAGAGCATGCACGCAACAACAGCGAAACATAGAGCCCTGCTCTACACCAGCGGTGCTCATCCAGGTGGAGCAAGGGACTCACGCCAGGCCAACACCAATGCGACCCTTATGCCAACGCTCAACAAAAAAACACAAAGCGGCAAGGGCGTGCAGGTCAAGGCGTGCCAGCATGTACGAGCTGGTGCAGACCTTGGTCAATGGGGCTCAGGGTGCCATTCCAACATTCACCTTGCTTGAACATTGACAACACACAAAGCCTGGGGCACCGAGCCTGCCAGCAGGGCAAGCGACTACAATGTTGGCAGATTCGAGTGTAAACTGGCAGCCAGACGTGGCCACACACGACGGCAGTCGACTCCACAAATGGCATGTTGGGGCATTGACAATTTGCGAGCGAACAGGGCGACCAGCCACCTGCTAGATATGCACCAGGCGCAGCATCAAGGAGCTGCACAGCATTCAAGCTGAAGGGCAAGCCCGAACAAAGGTGTGGGCGCAACCAACCCTAACCACTGCTGCACAGGCTACGTCAGGGGATGCAAGTCCATGAACTGACATCATGTACAGGATTTCCATTCAAATCAAAGGTCTGCGTACAGTGAAAGTGCCTCAAGCCCTGAAGGCCCACCGCCCGCAACTGTTGCCCTACCTGGCTCGCGGAGTGCCGCTGCAGTCTTGGCCGCCGCCGCTCCCAAGGCTGCCGGAGCCGCAGGTGAGCCCAGAGAGGCGTAGGCCCACAACACCGCCACGCTCTCCCCTTCACTGAGGGGCTGCGGGCGCGGCTCGCCTGCAGAGGCCACACGCGGCCGCTCGGGCGCCAGGCGCGCCAGCGCCCGCAGCGCCCCGAGCTCCGCCGCGGCCACGGCGGAGCCACGGCGGCCGGCAGAGCCGCGCCGATGCAGCCAGCGGCGCCGCCGCCGCTGCTGGTCATCGGCTGCGGCGGCCTGTGACACATACCTGAGGAGGGGCCCACTCCCCTGTGTGGCCGGCCTGGTCAGGGGCACGCGGGCGGCCTCTGCGAGTCCATGCGGCGCGGCACGCGAGGCTGCTGCCGCGAGAGGCGGCATGCCGCCGCATTCCAGGCATGGCCACGGGCCCCTGCCGAAAGTGTGGAGGGGTGCTGCGGAGAAGCTGATGGGCCGTCCGAACTGAAGCGGCGCGCCGGCGGCATGGGGCCGGCGTGCGGGCCAAACGCCTGGTGCCTGCCGCGCTGTCGCCAGCAGGCGTGTGCCACGCCCCTGATCGGCAGTGGCAGCTGGGCCTGTGCGTTGGGGGTGGGCAGAGTGGCGAAACCCGCTCAAGTGTGTGGCAGGCGTGGCCAGCGACTTTGCCGCGCGTACCACTGCACGCGAGCGCCTTGCGCCCTCTGACACTAAGAACCGCCACTGCACCTGCTGCGCGGCACGTCCCAGGTGCGGCGGCCCTTGCCAGCTTGAGTATAGCCACATAGTACTTCAGCATCGCGACTGGGACAACGGCAGGATACAACAGAGCGCAGCCTGGACGAAGGATGAGAAGATGACAACTGTAATGCCAGGTCGGATGTACACAATGGGGTTGAGCGAGAAGAGCGCTCTGGCCTTACGAAACAATTGGCTTCAATGTGCATGCGCAGCAACGAGCTCACCGGTATCTGCGATCTAGATCGACAATGCGAAGCTGCCCGGCACTTGGAGTGTCTGCGCAACACAGCACACTATCTAACTTACTCAACGCCCACGTGATATCGATTTAGATTAGCTAAGTGTCCTTACCAGTTCGATCACACGCACAACGAACAGCTCCCGGCCATTTCCGCGGTGGCTTGTAAGCGTAAACGTTCCAGACACAACCTCAATTCGACGCCTGACAGCTTATGAGAGAGGCCTGAGTAGCAGACTGCGGCAGCGGCGCCCGAGCTCAAGGGACGGTGCGCCGCTGCAACGCTTATCCCGACTCCTGTGGCGCAGCGGCGACACATTACGATGAGCGGTGCACCCAGGTGGGGTCCTATGCCATCCGCAGCCGTATCCCAGTGACTCACTGGATACGGCGGGCCTCACTGCATCTCCGTCATGGTTGAGCTCGAGCTGCCTGCTGGCCCTGGTCCCGACCCCAACACAGCAGGCGCATTGGCGGCAATGGGGGCTTTGACGTTGAATCGATGGAGCGGGAGAACGACCGCGGCATAGACGCACTTTCAGAACGGATCGGTCTGCTCAAGCAGGTGCGGCGTTCGGGGTCGGGGCAGAAAGCTCGTGAGTGTGGCGATGGGCAGGCACCTCCTACCTTTGCCAGAGCTGCCGGCGCAGCGTGCATGCGTGCAGTCAAGATGGTGTGTGCACCTGACCTGTTGCAGCTGAGCTTGCTTACGGCGACTGTTTCAGGGGCCGCAGCCCAGCTGGTGGTCGCAGAATACTAAACACGCTCCCGGCCAGCTTGTTGCATCGCTCCTGTTACCCTTGCGCAGGCCACCCATGGCATCCGTTCAGAAGTGGAGTCGCAGCACTCTGTTCTTGATAGAATGGTGGGCTGCCAACCGGCAGTGGTGTTGTGGGGTTTGGTTGCAAAGCTCGGGCGCACAAGAGGCGCCTAGCTTGACCGCTGCGGCCCTTGGCGGGCTATGATCTGCCGGCAGCAGTGACGAGGGTGACAGAGGCTGGTTACCCTGTCTCAACCTGCATGAATGAATTGCGCCAACAAGCAACAGTCCCCGTAACAGTTTCCGGGGGGAAGGTTAGCACCGCAACCGTGCTGCCACTCGATAAACGTGAGATTCTGAGCAACTCACAACCACACCCCAACCTGCCCTAAACCACTCCCAGGCAGACAGCATGCTGGGAACCCAAGGCATGCTGGGCAGTGCAGCTAGCAAGTTCAAAGTGGTGAGCTATGACGGTGCTGGTGCCAACGGGTGGGGCCGCGTGTCGGGCCGAGCAGAGGACAGGGGTGCAGGGTGTGTTGCGACCGCCAAGCTGCCCCAAGGGGCCAGGGCTCCCGTCGCGGTCGGCCATGCCATGTCATAGCACAGCTCACACGACTTGCTGTGCTGCTGCTTGATCAGATTCGAACAAAGAGTGCCCAGTTTCTGATGCGCCGTTGCGCCTCTGCGGAGTACCACCCCCAGCGCGCCCCACGGACGGTCTCCCTTCTCTCAGTCCCCCCCTCCTCCCCTCATACAATCGCAAGCACTTCAGTATTGCGTCCTGGGCGACACGCCTTTGCACCCGCTGCGTCTGTCATGCCCCCCCCCCCCCCAGGTCATGGCCGACAAGGACAACCGCCGCATGCTCAGCATAGTGGGCGGCATGGTGGTGGCCCTGCTGCTGCTCTACTTTATCATGTTTCGGCGGTGAAACCCACGTTCATGCCCTTGACATGTTTGAGAAATAGTGCATGCCTGGGGAGCTTTGGCTGGGTGGGGGCCCCAAGGTGGGCACCGCATGCACGACGTGATCCGCTCACATGGCATCTGCCTGGCCCAGCTCAGCCCACCAGGGCTGCATGGTGTCCATGAGCGTTTGGAGGTGCTTGCCCAGTACAGCGTCCGGCGATGGCTGAGCGGCTTATTGTACGGCTCAAGTGGCTAAAGCGTCGCTGATCTTGTCTGGGCACTGTGCCGCTTTTGCGCGCAATTTTTGTGAAAAACCAGCATACCCAACCCTGCAGCAGGGTGTGTACTGTGGTGGCGTCAATTGTTGCAGTGTTTGCGCTAGCTGAGCTGCTGTCGCCATAGCAAGGGGGCATCCTGTGAGGCAAGGTTGCAAGATTGGCCACGGGTTCTAGCCCCCCTCGGCAGCACGGCAGCACTATTCCAAGTTATTACCAGAAACCAAGAGAACTGACCCTGTCGCGCCCAGCCAGCGCCCCTGGGCAATGGGCGCCCGGACTGGTCACAGCTGTCACGGCGCAGCTGGTGCATGCACGCCACATGCAGCTGTCACATGCAAAACGTGTGGATTCCTTGGTGAGGCAGGAAGACAAGCGGTAGAAAAACTGTTGCGGCATCATATTTTGACTACCGTAGCTTGGTCCTGATCCAATCAGGAACATTACAGCAGTCCGGCAGAGATCCCCCCTGTAGTCATCCGGATTGCAGCTCACCTATCATCAAGGTACAGCTCCTGGGGCAATGCTGTGCCACCACTGCAATAAACAATCCATCTGCCTGGACATGTTGGCTTTGGGCAAAGGCAGCGCCCTGGCGCCCACTCAGCAGGTGCCCGCCAGCCGCACCTCGATGCCGTGACGGAGCGGCCGGTCACCAGCCTGCTGTGGACAGCTGCACAAATGTCTAGGCGACTGCGAGACCCTGTGAAATGAACAGGACAACATAACGTCCAGTGTTGCGCATACAGCATCCGTTCACCGTTCCGTGCCAGATCGTGTCACAGACCCGTAACCGCGCTGTGTGCACAATATCCAACGCAACACATCAAAGCACTGCGATGATCTGCTCGGCCCGTTGCCCATCACAGCCACGGCCGCGCCACGCCGCGCGCCCGGGTTGCGCTCGCGGAGTGTGTGTGCGTGCCGTGGCTGGTCTGGGCCGCGCAGTCGTGATGGGCACGGGCATGGGTAAGTTGGCGGCATGGGAGATGTCGCACATAAGTCAGCTTACAGGACAATTAGGGAAAACCCTGCCGTGCAAGTGCACCTGCAGTACACTCGCCCAAATGCTGCAGTCCGCCGCTGAGCTCCCCTGCTTCCGCTGGCAATCGCATTCCCCTTGGCCCATGCACCCCCAGGCGGCCTCGTCGCCGCGCAGCGTCTGAGCAAGCACTTTGACGAGGTCGTCTCCCTGGAGAGGGACGCACGGCCACAGCTCCCGCCGGCCGGCGGCAATGCCGCTGCCGTCGACGGCCCTAGCGCGGTGGTGAGTTTTGCGTCAGCACGCCTGCTGTCTGTGCTTTTGTACATTCATGTGTGTGCGGACGCGCGCGCGTGTGTGTGTGTGTGTGTGTGTGTGTGTGTGTGTGTGTGTTGTTCTGGGCGGTTGTTGGGTGCGCAGTGACTGAACATCAGGATGTTGACATTTGCAGATTTGCACAACAGCCGCCTGCCGCCTGCGTAATTGTGACGCGCAACCCACCTCGCAGCGACCGCCCTGCTTGGCCAGCCCATGAAACGGCATCCGCGTGGCGTGTAGAGATCCTCCAAGCCAATAGGCGCTCCTCTCTCGCCATCCTCACCCCGGGCGCGCTGCAATCCTCCGCTGCCCAGACAGCCGACCAACCTGCCCAGCCCCCCTCGCGAAACGCCCTGCCGATCACACCCGCCCGCCCTGGGTGCGTCCGCTCGCCGCCCTCCTCTCCGCCAGCACAATGGCCGCCCCGGCGTACCCCAGTTCAACTTTGTGAGCGGCCACGCCCGCGCGCTCAACGCTGCGCAGGCTTCACACACGTGGCTGCCCCGTCCGGAAGAGTGCGGCTGGGCGGGGGGGGGTTACCTTGCGAGCCGCCCTACTGGCGGCCTGCTCACTCGGATGGCTTGCACTCGATACGATTTGGATCACGTCCTGACCTTTGTCTGTCCACGCGCTCTGGAAACGCTCTCGTCCAACCTTGACTGCAGATTCACGCCCTGCTGGGCCGCGGCGGCGCCATCCTTGACGACTCATTTGGCCCGGACTACCGCTCACAGCTGCTGGCGGCGGGAGGCCGCCTGGTGGACTGGTGGGCAATCGGGACCTGCCAGCCGGTTGGGGTCGGCTTTGAGGCGCTTGACAGTGGTGCTTGAAGTCGGGTCACCGGCTGAGGGATCGAGCGACTGGGCTGCGGGCCCTCAAGCAGGGTTGCGCTTTTTAGGCGCCGTATCTTGCGGATGCGAGAAGAGATGGCATCTGGCCTCCACACTCCTCCGCGACCGGAGGAACAGCCGGCTAGCTCACGATCGCCTTGCTCCCCCACGCACCCCTGGCGTCCTACAACCCGAACGACCCCCTAAACCCTGGCCGCGTCAGGTTCACCGAGGTCTCTATCGTCGTGCCCCCAGGGACCACGTTCCTCCGAAACCCGCCCGGCTCTGCCCCGCCGCCCGGCCTGCCCCCCATGGGAATGTACTCGGCCTCCCGCGCACTTTTGGAGGGCACCGCCCGCAAGCTGCTGGAGCGCAACCCCAGGGTGACAGTGAGGTACGGGGCCCGCGCCGACGGCCTGGCCTTCTCGCCTGACGAGGGGACTGGGGGCAGGCCGGCCGCGGTGGAGGGCGTGACGCTGGCCGGCGGCGGCGCCGTGGTGGGCGCCGACCTGGTGGTTGACTGCAGCGGCCGCAACACCCGCGTGGCGGACTGGCTGGCGGCCGCGGGGTGGGAGGCGCCGCCTGTGAGCGTCGTGGACGCGGGGGTGGGCTACGTGTCCAGGTGGGGGGAAATGAGGGCGGGCACGGGTTGGCTTGCTGGTTGAACCCCGATCCACAAGCGCACATTTGGATGTCATGGACACGCATTCTAATGCGGGCTGGGCATCCTGTTTATGCGACCTAAAGAAAAACAACCACTTGCAGCTGCTGCATGCAAGTAGCTTGGCTAGTGGCTTTGTCGGCTGCTTACCAGCTGCAAGGTAGTCACCCAGCAGCTGATAGTTACGTTGTACTCTTGCATTGAGCTAATGTTTGCCGGTGCTCTCTCACCCTGCACACAACAAACCTGCAGGCATTTCCGGCTGTCACCCGAGTCGCAGCACCGCATGGAGGGCACCCACGCGCTGGTGGCGACTTCCATGTACCCTCACACGCAGGTGTGCATGAGGAAGGGCAAGTGGCGTGTGAGCGAGTGTGCGGTTCATCAGCCGACCACACGTGCGGTGTGAATGTACATGTTTTGGAGGCCACCCGCATGCGACCCTCGCATCCCCGCAAAGCGTGTGTGTAATCACCTGGAGAAACTGATGGTGATAACAAGTACAGGCTGGCCTTTCCAGCTGGCTGGTTTGGCACGTAAGGGTTGACCCAACCAGCAAGCAGGATTGGGCGTGCAAGGCATTTTGCGCCTCTTGGCGCATACCACGTTACTGCTTGTCGCAGCCGCACGATTCCTCCTGCCTGAAACCTCACATAACCCTGGCGCCCCAGCTGGCCGTGATTCAACGCATCGAGGGCGGCGACTTTCTGGTGGGCGTGGGCGGCTACGGCGAGGACGAGAGCGGGCTGCCGCCCCACGATGACAGCGCCCTGCTGCCCTGGGTGCAGGTGGGGCGCGCGGCGCTGCGATATATAGATGCTGCCGAGACCGCCTGGTTTGGTGGCTTCTCCACAATGCCCCACCATCAGCAAAGCACATATAAGCCCCGGAAAAGCACAAGTGGGTGCAGACACGCACGCACGAGCGCAAACACGTGCGCGTGAGCTCGCGCGTGTGCGCGCACACACACACACACACACACACACATACACACACACGCGCGCGCGCGCGCACGCACGCACGCACGCACGCACGCACACACACACACACACACACAC